GGGAGGGGCCCATCCCCAACTCCCCCCCACCCCCATCCCTTCTCCCCACCCTCTGTTTGATCCCCTAACTCCATGCTGGCCCTCCCGACCTCCCACACTCACTGGCAGTACCAGAGAACAAGCAGGAGGCTGGAGACAGCCCTTGGAGACATTCCCCTGCTGTCTCCATCCTCCTGCTCCTTCCCCTGCTTATCTGTAGCCTTGGGTCACCCTGTTGGACAGGATGCAAAACATCCAGTGGGTGGAAGATGGGCTCACAATTGACGTAGGTCAAGTGAGGGAAAACCTTGAGAGGTTAGACATCCATAAGTCTGTGGGCCCAGACAATGCACCCGAGGGTCTTGAAGGAGCTGATGGACATTATAGCATGTCCTATGGCAAAGATATTTGAGAACTTGTGACGCTCAGAAGAGGTACCGGAAGACTGGTAAAAAGCCAATGTGGTCCCAATATTTGAAAAAGGAAGGAAGGAAGGAAGGAAGGAAGGAAGGAAGGTTGGTCGGTCCAGGGAATTACAGGCCAATCAGTCTGACATCCATCCCTGGAAAGATTCTGGAGAAAATCATCAAGGGATCCATCAGCAACAAGCTACCGGAAGGCAACCTTCTGAACGCTAGCCAACATGGCTTTATTGCTGGAAGATGAAGGGACCAACCTCGTCTCCTTCTATGACCAGATGACGCATTGCCTGGACAAGGGAACCGAGGTTGATGTCACATCTGGATTTCAAGAAAGCCTTTGACTAACTCTCCCTGTATATCCTCATGATTAAGCTGGGGAACTTGTTTGTAAGTTATTTGAAAAAATATTTTCTCATAACTTCTCAGGATTTACTAGTTAGAAATACTGCATTGTCTTCTCCATCTAAGTATTTCTTTTTAGTGCTGATTTAAACTTTACATTTAAGTTTTAGAATTATATTAAACAGGATTGGATAGCAGTGAGACTTGCAATAAAGAAGAGAGATTATTAGCAATTCAGAACTACAGTTAAGTCCTCACTTAAGTTTTATAATATAGTAAACAGAAGTAGTTGCTATCCAAATTTTCAGTACACAGACACAATTTTCTTTTTATTGCCATGAATATTAATCTTAATAAATATATTTTAACACAGCAAGCTCAGAGTTAAACACTACTGAATTAAGGAGTAGTGTGGAAAATTTGGGGGTGGGGGGAGACACTGATCCCATGGTATTAAGGAGGGTTTAAAGATGGATTGCATGGAGGCTCTGATATATAGAGAAAGGGGAGAGAGGAAACAAGGAATTTGTGAAGGGGAATGGAGGAATGCAAGGAGCATCTGATGTGTGCTGTATTTTCAGTCTACCAAAGCAACAGTGTGTGTTTATTTGTAGTTTAACTGCATAATGAAAGATTAATTCAGTGTCTAGTCATGTAAGAAGGTTTTATTCCTTTATCTAGTGTAAATTGCCAAATTCAATCAAATTCATGTTCAGCATTTCAGATTATTGTGGGAGAAAGAAAAAGAAAATGCCTTGAGTTAGTGTGCATCTCACTGGCATCTTTCCAAATGTTTTAAAACAATTTACATTGCAAAACAACATTTTATAACTTTAAAGCAATTGGATATCATTCCCACTAGTAGATAAGCTACACAACTTCACCTTCATAGGAAGCAAATTATATTATCTTAGGAGATGAGTTGTTCATTATCTCATTTATATTGTTTTACATTATATTGCAAACATTAGAAAGATAGCATAGGTTTGAAATGATGGTGAAACTAAAACAAAACTACAGGATGAAAAGAATAAGCAATGTCTTGATTTCCTTTAAAACAGTTTATGAAAGAGAAGTTTATCTAGGTATTAAAGTGTGGAGACTCCCTGGCCAGAGCGCCTCACCTGCATACCAGAAGTGTAGGTTCAGAAGATGCCCAGTGATGTGTAGCAAGGGACACTGGGATTTCCAGAGTAAGCTTATTTGCCAAAAACTGCATGATTAACATATTATCAAAGGACTTGTTCATTCAAGTTACTAGAAATGGATCATCACAATCTTAGGTCCACCTAGGCCTCTGTGGATCAGTGTGAAACATACTAATTTTGGCAGGAGTTTGATGTTGTCAAGTAGTGTGCCTACCGGATCAATCTTTATTGTTGTCATCGTGTCTCCAGTCCTAGCTTCCTATATGGTCTGCTCCCAATATTCTGCATATCTCACTGCTTCTCGTGTTTCCAAATCTTGTGGGTGCATTGTGGTGCTACAGAGCATCTCAAGAGATAATCCATGACACATTGTGCAGTTGTGTAGAGGCCTCATGATTTCCTGAGAAAGTTGCATCTCCCGAGACCCACTTTCAATCTATTCAGGCTCCACCATGTGTGCCATATGTAATTGGGCCAAATGGTAACTCCTCACTGCGGGTAATTCCTTGCTGGCTCCATTCAACAGCTTTGTCATGTAGTTTCTCCCATTCTTTTTGCCAGAGGGTAGTTCTGGCTGATTTCAGTCATATGGTCAATGGTATAGTAGAGGAAAAAAAAGCTACTTCTCAATGAGAGACGATGGTCTGCTGTTTGATGACAATATAGTGGGTGGCAGTCATCTGACTCTTGTACCTGTAGGTCAATGTCACTTGCTACTTTCCTCCTGCTGTATGTGGGTGCTATGCCAGATAGTGCATATAGGCAGGGAATGGGTGGGTTTTAGGTGGCCTGTTATAATTCTGCATGTATAATTTAGGGTGATGTCAGTATATTTATCGTGACTGTAAAGGTGGATAAGCAAATGAGCTAATTAATCTAAATAACACAACTGCACAGTAAATGAAAGAGGTGGGGGCTTGCTAAACCTGCAGCCTGTCTGTAACCTGGCACTACAAAGGGCTCAGAAAATTCTGCAGACTTGATTTAAATTTAAAACCAGAAGACTATAGTATTATAACGGCTGTACCAACAAAAAACCAACTGTGAACAATGGCAATTACAGAATACTACCAGGAATTTCCATCACCCCTGGAGGCTCAATTCCTTTACCAGGGATGGGTAATACTTTATCCTCCTAAAGGCGGTAATGCTGACAAATATGGTTGGCTACTGATGTGGGCAACTGGTGTTGTCTTAGTCGAGGGGGGGCACATTTCCCCGCCCCACCCCCCGTGACCAATACTGCCAACTGGGGGGTGTTTGCCGCGGTCGATTCTGTGAACCAGAGGGGGGTCCCCAGTGGGCAGTCCTGCAACAGCCAATTGCTGTGGCCAATTGCTGCAGCAACTTCTGGGAGTGGTTGCAGCAGTTTCCAGGAGCAAGCACCGGCCGATCACTGCCGCTGCTCCCAGAAGGGGCCGAAGCCAATCTCAGAAGTGGCTGCAGCTATCACAGTGATCAGCCACCACTTGCAGGGGGGCACCAACATTCCTGCCTTCCCCTGCCAAATCTATTATGTAATAAACAGCCAATTGTGCATGCTCACAATAGAGAAATAGGGTCGATATGTCCTCCAGTTCAAAAGGTTAGCTGAGCTAGAACCTTCAAGGTTTTTACTTAATTGAGCATGTGCAATAACACCATCACAGTAATAGATGGTGGTTTGTCTATAGAAGTTATTGTGATGTTCTTGAGGCTAAGTGTGATGGTTTCAATGTTATTTGTGCTTGTGCTGGTATGCACTTGTTCAATTTTCAGGTCAGGTCTAGCAAAAAAACCACACTGCCATACTGCTTATGCCTTATTTCAGCAATGAGTGTTCTCCCTTTGATGGTCGGGGTAGAGTTATTAGGTCCTTTGTGCGTCTCCTGTATGCACACAATATCATACTCCTGTGATATTGCTTCCAGGATAGACAGGATCAATAAGCAGTAGCAAACATTCCTTTTTTTTTTTTTTTAGAGATACATGTTTTAGTTTGTATTGCTGGTCTTTTAGATGATCTTTATACATGCATAACATCTGTGAATAGTAAATATCTATGTTACCTGTAAATAGTGAAATAGCACAAGTATGTAGCTAAGTAGCACAATAGTGCAATTTTGCATAATTGTGCTATTAGATTAATCAGAAAATCTTGCTGAAATCTGTATTGACTCCTGTTTTATATCTAAAGACCAACAGATGTGTACTCATCAGCTCATGCAATGAATAGAAGACATCTATTATTAGGCAAATCAGCATATATAACTGATCCTCTAAGTGAGGTAAATTAATTACTCAATTAAAAATATAGAACATAGAATGCTATGTTTTTAAAAAGGCATTACAGGTATTCACATTATTTTTAAACAATATTGCAGGATGGAACAGTTTTGCTCTTTTTACTATAACTTTTTCTTCTTAGTCCTTATAGGCTACTGTATAGCTATTAAAGAATCCCAGAAAATACAATGATTTAGAAAAAAATCGAGACTAAGAATATGTTGTTAAAAAGGTCTTCAACCTTTTGTTTTGTCATAGGTTCACTCAAAATGTGTGTTGTTTGGGGGATTTCAGTGTTTTATTTGTAGTTAAATTGTATTTTATTGGAATTCCTAAAAATATTTATTTTATGATGGTGTATATCCATGGTTTCCAACCTGAAACTGAGCATGTTATTTCAAAGGGGTCTACAGCCATTATAGATTCTTTGGAGCCCTTTGTAAAGGGACCAGAAACCATCTGCAAGTCTCATCCTGGAAATTTTTCATAAATGGGGTGAACCCCAAGTAAACACAAAGAAGCTATAGATAATTCTACTCCTTTTAGTACAGGGGATTTATGATAGCTAAGAAGGGTTGTACTGGGAGGAGGAGGAATGATTGGAATGCCTTGTGCTTTGGCTGACTAGGTGGCATATGGACTCTTGGGGAACATAGGGCACCTATGCATGTGATAGACCTCTGCTCTGACGCATGCTAATTAGCACATTTTGGAGTAGACTTGATTAATTGAGTCTGCTGGAGCATGCTAACTAGCATGCTCTGGCAGCCTCTGCATGATGTGTATGTGGTGCCCCCAGATTTCAAAATGGCATTTGGGGTGCTGTAACTAAAGTTCGTTGAATGAGCTTTAGTTAAAGTGCCCCTGCCACCATTTTGGAGCAAGGCACACTGTACACATGTGATGCTGTGGGTGCTTAAATTAGACCAGCTCTGAGAGGCGCTCTAATTAAAGGACCCTTCACTCCAGAGCACATGTATGGACACCCATAAATACCAGATACATTTTACCAGATAATCTGTGTTGAAGTGGAGCAAAGAAAAATGGAATTATATTATCTTATTTGTTAATTTTTTCCTTTTCCTTGGCTGCTAAGAAAGCCTGTATAGGAAGTAGAGGAGAAAGAGATCCATCCCATGCTAACTGCTCCCCTGTGTCCAGGCAGAACCAGTTAAACTCCTATATCTCTTTCATTGAGGCTTCTAGGGAAGAAATGGGATAACTACAATTTCTCTCTCTCTTCCCTAGAATTAAAAGTAATTCTGGGAAACAGAAGATGAACATTTACTTTTTCTGAGTCGCTTTTCATACCCTAATAACTCCTTTTTCAAAGTTTAAATAAATTGTAGGAGTTGGACTCCTGTCTAACAAATTCTGGACATACGAATTATAATTCATGAGTGCATAAATATCATTATATGTACTAAACAATCTACAATTTCAAACAAAGCAGTGTTTGATGAGATGGATCATTTGTCATTCATCAATATACAGATAAAATAAATTGGGAATGAATTGAGTGAGATTAACATTTATGCCTAACATGGCTGTGGAATTGGCTTTATTGAGAAATCTTCCAAGTTGTGATTTGCATTGCAGATAAGCACACCTCAGTTTCAGTATCGTTATACCACTATCTGCTACATAGCAGTAGTTTCAGGACATAGGCTGGAAGATGGTTTGGAAATAATACATAAAATAGAACTAAAGTATAATAAAGGATATGTTTTGTGTTTTAGATGACTGTCCATCCTTTTGTAGAAGTTTCTTTCCAGCATGCAGTTTATCAGACTAGTACTGCTGATGGTTCTCATCCATGTTGGAATGAAGAACTTCAGATGGATTTTATGTAAGTTTTTCCACTTTTACAACACGAAAAAATACAACAAAATAGTTGTTAAGCTCTATAATAAAAGTATACAAGTCAGCAGCTAGATTCCCTTCCCCACTGGAACCAAGAGCAAACTTGTAACTCAAAACGCTTCCTGCAAAGCATTCTCAGTTACAGCTGGGAGCTGCATTTCTGTCTGCACCTTTGTTTTCTTTGTCAACAAATAGGACAACCCTGTCATAGGCCATGTTTTGAAAATAAAGGAAAGTTATTGCTGTCCACTTGTCATTTATTCTATTTGAAATGAGTTGGAATGACGGCTTTCAATTTTTTGCCTCTTTTCCCCTTTTTAGGGGGTATGTTGTAGGGAGGAAGGGAGCCTGGTGAAGGGGATGTGGATGCAGTGCACTCCATTCTGGTTATTCTCTGTGACTATAACTAGCCAATAATGATTTTTACAAACTGGAATAATTTAGAGTAGACGTGAAGTTAGGAGCCAAAATTAGGGAGGTCAAAATGTGGCTTGAAGCATTTTCCAACTATTTTTCACCGTTGGATGCTGTGAAATATATGAAAGAATGGAGATGTTAACACTGTTTAGGAAATTTGGGACAGAAATCAGTGGAACTATGTTGGTTCTCAGCAACTGGGTTTCTGTCCTAATTTATTTGACTGCTGAAATAATAATGAAATAAAATAGCTTAACCAAATTTATCTCCGAAAGTCAGTAGAGTTAAACTGGAATGATAGTCACCTTTTGTTTTAGCATACTGATTTAGTTTGATTTCTTTAAAATTGTTCATGATTCTTTAATATTTTAAGAACATTAAGGAGTAATTATATTATTTTTAATTATAACAATGTCTGGAAGAAAACAGGTGAGTAAGATTAATTCTGTCTGTAATTACAGATCTCCAGGACATGACTACAGCTTTTCAGGCCTGTCTAAAATTAAAGACAATATATGTGTCAACATTTTTGATGAAGTTATTTTGGAAAAACATGAGGTAAGTAGCATAAACACAATAATGGACTTTAGTTTCTCAAGTTATTGTGTGCTGTGTAAATTACTGTAAACATGAACACATCTACATTTTGTCTTTCCTATTTGGAATAAACTATATCTATAATATTGCTTTTCCAATTTTGCATAAACTTCGCTTCCATCTTAGAATTTTAGAAATTCCATTCAGAAATATTGTGGCCATTATGACAGTTTAGGTTTGAGCTGTGAGAAAACAGTTTGATTTTCTGCAAAAAAACTGTCATTTGCTGCACATTAAAATGTATATTTTTTACCAACCTGTGAAAATTTTAATTCAGAACTACTTCTGTAGTTTCTCATGCTGTTTGTACAGTGGTGTCCAACTTTTCTGGGATACAGACCAGATGTGGTATGGGGTCAGTCTACAAGTTGGATCTGGCGCATGTGTTTTGTCCATGGGCCCTATCCAATGCAGGGTTGTTACATGGGAACGATCCATCATATAGTCCCAGCCCTACGTGTGCCAGATCAGGATCTCTCCCCAGACCGAACTCCACATATGCTGGGTTGTGTTCTGGCCCCATGTACCAGATCAAGCCCTGATCTGATGCATGGGGTCCTGTGATCTGGCCCCACAGTTTTGAAGTTGTCCTGTCTGGGCAACCTGGCCAGATTACGTTTCCTAGAATACTCTGTGGACCCTATCGCTGAGCTTCTTCAGTCTGTCATCTAAGGCCCTGGCTATAGTGTCTCATGAAAAACCTTCCCCAACTAGGAGAACAGTAGCAGGAAGCAACTGATGTATAGCATTTATAAGACACTGACAGCATTTCTAAATTATCAGGTTTCTGTTCACAGGTGTTATTTTTCTGGTTTGATTGTTTAGTTTTTCAAATTAAATTCAAATTGTTTCATGGAAAGCAGGTAATTCTGTGAAATATTTTGCTTAGTTGAAGATAATTGTGGATGGAAAACTTGTTAAAAATATTAAAAAGTTCTATCTTATTTCCACTTTAAATTTGTCTAAGTTTACATATTAGCTTTTGTTATGCCAGTGTCCTCTAGGTTAAAAAGTCCATTAGTACCATAATATGTGATATCTTTTTTCATGTAGGCTTTTTTTTGCTGTCATCTAGTCATATTTTTATTCTCTCTTTAATGATTAGCTTCCTAAGTCTCAGACTGAAAGGCAGATTTTCTAAGTTTGAACGATTATTTTCATCCTTTTCTGAAGCTTTTACCGTTTTCCTAGGTTACAAAATAATTTTTTTCATTGTGACATATTCAGTGTTTCATTATGGATTTATTGTTATACATTGTGTTGCCATATCAACATTTGTAATGAGATGTCTGCTTTAATTTTTATTCTAACAGAATAGATAAACTGTAAAATATAATAATGTTTAAGGTACATTTCATATAGAGATATTCTGTAGAGAGTCCTGCTTCTGCATAACTTTTCCGTTATTTTTGTCTTTGAGGATAATAACACTTGTGTGTGTTTCTCAGCAATACAGTATAGGATAGGAGTAAGGCCTTGTGATTTCAAGTTGTCCTGTGTATAGACAACAGATATAAACAAATATTGATAAGAAACTGAATCTAGCTTTAGTGCAGTTACCAATAGTTTATCATCGTTGTCATCAGCATCTTCATCATCATCACCACAGTAAAATTCTTTAAGCCATTTCCTGAGTATTGACCCAGTGCATTATTCTAACCAATGTCAGTTAGGCCAGTCAGCCTAACTTCCATCCTAGGGAAAACTCTAGAAAAGTTCATCAAGGAGTCTATCTGTGATAAGCTTGCAGAAGGTGAGATTCTGAATGACAGCCAGCATGGCTTTCTTGCAGGCACGTCTTACTTTACTGACATGGGACAGGGCGCAGGGGTGGCCGTGATCCCCCTGGCGCCCCTACCGTGCCAAGTCTGGGCCCTAAACGCACCCTCCGTCTCGCCAGCCACGTCTTTGATTTTACGATTATCAGTGGGAGGATGCCTTCCGACCCCCTTGTGCACAGTGCTATTTTGGTACTGGCCCCTGTTCACCAGTAAGTGATATGGTGCACCCCAGCCTTATGGGCTACGCGTGCCTCCTACCTCTCCTTTAGCACACCCCAAGCCTCGCAGTTATTCCAGATGTTCTCGTGTCTCCGATATATGCGCCCTCACCGGGGCCTCTCTGATGTACGCGCCCTCGCCGGGGCCTTGCCCTGCACTCGCCCCACTCTGGGCTCTGTCCTGCGCACCCTGCGTTCTTGGGTTCTATCCCACGCTCCCTAGCCTCTTGTGCTTGTACCCGCGTGCTTACCCCAGCACGCCTAATGTACTCACTCCTTGCCTGGGGCCCTGTTGCTCGCTGCACAAGCCCTGTCTCGCCCCTTCCGGGGTTTGGCTAGTGTAATCACCCTCTTCAGACTCCCAGCCACACGCTCTTGCCCTGCCTCGGGCCTCTAACCGCGTGCTTGCCCTACTCTGGACTCTTACATTTGCCCTCGCCCCCCCCTTATGGGGCTTCCCCCTAGACTCGCCTCGTCTGGGGCATCCTAATAGGTGTTCCCCCCTTTTGGGGCTTATGCCTCGCCCTTCTCTGGGGCCTCCTCAGTAAGCTCGCCCTTCTCTGGGGCCTCCTCAGTAGGTAGCTTGCCCTCTCCGGGGCTTCTCATGTAGAGGCAGCACCCTCTCTGGGGCTTGTCCCCCCACGCTTCTCGCGCCCTCGCCCTCTCTGGGGCTTGTCCCCCCACGCTTCTCACGCTGGGGCTCAGGTGGCCCGTAGCCATGCCTGGCCCCTTGATCCTTCTCGGGGTCCCTCGCCCTACTGGGCCAAATACCGTCCTCACAGGCTGGGGTCTCAGCCCCCACACACCACGTCACACTGGCGCCAAACAGCTTTGCCTTCCAGGCACTGCTCTGTGCCTGAACAGGGCACCCAGGAACCCCCACTCCACTGGGGAGCTCCTAATGAGGCCTCCTCACACCCCTACAGCCTCACGCAGTCCTCCGGTGTAACATCGGACCCAACGATAAACATAAAGCCCCGAGCCCACCGGCTGCAACACAAAATCAGCCTACCAGCTATAACACAATAACAAGCTTCCTTGCTCAAACATAGGGTTAAGCATACTTGCCTCTCTATCAATAGCCTCCCCGTCAGGGTTCTTTCCACCCTTACCATGTTGTAGCTGCTTGGGTGGTCAAACTGCAACCATCGGCCCTGCTCAGCTCTACTGCAGCACTCCCACACATCAGGCTACCAGAAGGGAACTGCTCAATAGGCTTCGGCCTGGGCTGTTTATAAAGGCCCGGCCCTGCCCCCTGGTGGTCAGCTGACCCAATCATTTGCTCTAGCAACCCTCACCTGGGCTGCCCTGAAGCTTGGCAGCTAAGCCTACACCACTATTACTAGTAGCAGGCACCCCAGTGCCCTGCTACACTTACCAACCTTATCTTCTTTTATGGCCAGGTAACTCGCCACCTGAGAGAGCAGGTTGACATTGTATACCATGACTTCCAAAAAGTCTTTGATTTAGTCTCCCACAATGTCCTTGAAAGCAGATTGGCAGATTGCAGGCTTAACTTTGAGACAGTCAGGTGGGTGAGAAACTGGCGGCAGGATAGGACCCCGAGTGTCGTAGTGAATGGATCTGTGCCATCCGGGCAAGAAGTGGGAAGTGGTGTCCCAGAGGGGTCGGTGCTTGGTCCAGTACTTTTCAACATCTTTATTAACTATTTGGATGTGGGCGTGAAGAGCTCACTGGCCAAGTTTGTGGATGACACTAAGTATGGGGAAGCATGGTCACGCTTGAAGACAGGCTACAGATACGGACAGAACTAGCCAGGCTAACAAGTTGGGCGGATTGGAACCTGATGAAGTTCAACAATGAGAAATGTAAAGTACACTACCTTGGGACTAACAACCCCCAACACACCTACTGGCTTGTCAGCACCGAACTGACTAGCACTATGAATGAAAGGGACCTGGGGGTAATAACAGACCACAGTATAAATTGAGCCAGCAGTGCAATGCTGTAGCTAGTAGGACAAATAATACTGTGGCATGCATCAATCAATGCATCTCCAGCAAAACCAAGGAGGTGATTCTTACTCAGCACTGGAGAGAATGCAGCTGGAGTGCTACATCCAGTTTTGGGCACCACACTATAACAACGACACGAATAAGCTTGAGAGAGTCCAAAGAAGAGTCATCTGTATGATCAGAGTCTTACACAGAAAGCCATACGAGGAAAGGCGGAGAGATCTGGGACTCTTCAGCTTGAAGAAAAGAAGGCTGAGAAGGGACCTGGTAGCAGCTTACTGCTACACTAGGGGATTACATCAAGGGCTCAGTGAGCAACTGTTCACCACGGCATTCAAGGGGAAAACTAGGAGTAATGGCCACAAACTTCTGGAAGACTGATTCAGGCTCAACATTAGGAAAAACTTCTTCACAATCAGGGTGTCTAGGCTGTGGAATAAGCTCCCTCCAGAGGTGGTGCAATCACCTACCCTGGAAATCTTCAAGAGGAGACTAGACAGTCACATTGTTGGGGTCACCTGACTCCCAGTTATCTTTCCTGCTTGGTGCAGGGGGCTGGATCCCATGATCTTCCAAGGTTCCTTCCAGCCTTACATCATAGTTTCATAGTTTAATCCACCTGGGCTCCCACCTGATCATTGGCTCATAAACAACTACCAAATAGGGAAACTCGAAAGAAAGGTCCATCCTTTATTATTTTTCAGGAAAATCAAATCACTCAATTCACTTTCATAGTTTCACATTTATGAATCTATGAAACATTGTAGATATTTTTATCATCCTGAATCAAACTGCTAATAAAACTTCTGATGATGAGCCATGTATAATTCTAATATGAACAAAATTATCACATTACCAGCTCTCAGCTTGTTACTTCATTCACAATATAGTTTAAGACCAATTGCTGTAAATAGTTATACTGGTGTAGTCACTGCATCCACATACAGTACCAAAATTTCCACTAGAGGATTTATTTGCAGATTGGGGTCTCATTGAGCTATGGATTTGTAAAACTTAATAATCTGAGGATTTTTTAAAATAAAAAACTAGCTAAGTCATCTACTTGCCTATTTAATATTTTTACCTTATGAATGAAATACTGGAGGGAGTTAAATGCTGAGAGAAAGAGGCATAAAGGTATAGGAACAAGCAGAGAAGAGTATCACAGATCTTACCACATCTTCATTTTTTAAATGTTTTAAGTTCTGATCTTTTCTTTCTGTATACTAAACTGAAACTCCCATCAAGACCTTCATAATTTTCCGTATTTCTATACTCCTATCTATTCAAACTGAAAATGATAAAGGCAAATCCTCAGGTGGTAAAATGTCAGGAGCGTATAGAATGGGGAAGGTTGGGAAGACTAGACTGAAGCAGTGTACAGAGCTCCTTGTCAGACCCTCATTTGGTCTAGAAGTCCCCAGGGAAATGCTATTATCTTTGGCTTCTCTGTGTTAAGGGGTATGCCAATTGAGGAAGAAGAAAAGTGTGTAAAGGCCATAATTCCTCTCCTCAGCTGTGCTGAGCATAAACTGGTTGTAGCTGTGGGTTGAACTCAGGAGACATCTAGATTCATAAATAATGGGTAAATTAAGAAAAATCTTCTGGATTTTATTATGAAAGTGTTTGATTTTGTGAACATATGGATTTATTGAGTTATCACATTCTATTTTATATGAGCAATTCATCGGTTCATTGAACACCTTGGGCACATCTATACATGCAAATAATCCGAGAACAGTTTACTCTTTGGTAAACAACTCGAGAGTAAACTTTCCTGGGCACATGTCTACAAGTAAAGGGTGCAGGAGCAGATTTACTTCTCCTAGCATGTGGAAGCAGGGGATACTCACCAATGGTGAACCCAGGAATAAGGGCCTCTGGAAATTCCCCTTGCAGCACCTGGGTAAAGCAGGGAAAGGGCTGGAGAGTTCTCATGTGCTGCTGCAGGGATGGTATCAGTGGCTGACTGATGGAAGAAATGAGAGCCCCACTTTGTTAGCTCCTGCTTGCTTTGCATTGGAAGATGCGCAAGGGCTTGCAGCATAAATGGACATCTGCTGCAGGCGGAAGGTGGCAAGGGAGCAGGATGGAGGCATAGTGTGGAGCTGCACCACAGTGAGAGCAAGTCAGATGCCAACAAGATCACGAAGGGAGAACTTCCTAGCTCAGGAGTTCAGAGAAACATTTGGCACCAGGTACCCTGGCTCCTGGGAGAGGCGGCAGGGAGAGGAAGTCTTGGGACCCTCTCACTGAGTCAGATGCAGCGAGAGAAGATTTAGCATTTTTGATTAGGAGCTGGCGAGCAGTGATGGCCCCAGAGTGTACCTACCTCTGGAGTGAATTAAGGGTGCATGATTAGTCAATGAAATTAATTGGACTAATTAATATAGTGTGATAAAATTAGCTGGTGTAATTTATTCATTTCTGATTAAATTAATTGGGCTAATTGATTTCTTTAATGAACAGTCAATTATGGATGCCTCTTTGATTGAGTTAATTATTGCTGGTGGATTGACCAGCCAAATTAATTGGATGGACTGATTCACTTAGGAACCCATGCCTTGGGGACTCCTTTGTTTGAGCTCACTGAGAATTATTATGTGATGGCCTAAAAAATGAATTGAGTGATTTGATTTTCCTGAAGAATAATGAAGGACGGACCTTTCTTTTGAGTTTCCCTATTTGGTAGTTGTTTATGAGCCAACTATCAGGTGGGAGCCCAGGTGGATTAAACCCTAGTCTGAGGTGACATCATTTTTCCCAGGCTTACATTGATTGCATCCAGTGAGCCAGCCTCATGGGCACACTACACTGTGAGAAGGAGATTAAACACCAGCATAATCTTCAATTGGCATGTAGAAGGCATGTGAAGGGAGGTGGAGCCCCATATATCACCTTTGTGTGTGGTCAGTGCACACTACAATTAATGACCCTCCCAACAGTATTCAAGATCAAGATGTGGCAGGAAGTGAAAGGGTCAGACTTCATGAGTGGGACACGGTGAGGGTCAAACTGTCCAGTCTGAAAAGCCAACATGCCAGGGGTTGGAATTCCCATGTACTTTGGCACAGGTCATACTGGCAGCACCACTCACATAGTAGCAGACTGCTGTCACCCCCTGCAGCTCTGTAATAGGACCCTGCATCCCCCCTGGGTACTAGCTCAGAGGCCAGAAGACAGCTATCTCCTGGTGGAGGCTGGGACATTGCTCCCTGACCCCAGAAGCTGCCTGCTGCCAGGGTGGGCTCTGCCACAGGAACCTGGGCAGGGACAATGTCCCCTTGCCCCAGCAGCAGGGAGCTCCCAGCCCCTGCTCTATGATTGCAGGATCTGGACTGGGAGATACTTCCATACCAGCACCAGCCCTGCAGTCACAGGACCCAGGGTGAGAGTTCCTTCTCTCCCAGTGACAGCTCTGGGAGAGAAGAATGCTGGCACAGGGCTGGTGCTGGGAGATCCTTCTATTTGATAAATCAATAAATGTGATAAATTAATAAATCCATATGAAGAATCTGCTAATGTTGGCCCCGCAATTACAGAACAGGGGCTTGGAGCTCCCTGCTGCCGTGACAGGGGAACATTGTCCTCACCCAGGCTCTGGCAGTGGAGCCTGCCCCAGCAGCAGGCAACTCTTTGGGGCAAGGAGCAATTTCCCACCCCCTGCTGCCTATGTGCTCCCAGTCAGACATCTACATATGTGCTACTGCACAGTAAGTAATCTTGAGTAAATTTGCTACTTGCATTTACAGGTAGCAAATTTACTCGTGATGAGAGCCAATTACTGTGCAGTAAGTGTCTGCACTTGTAGATGTGGACACTTACTGCACAGTAATTAGCTCTACTGAAGAATAAAGTGTCTCATGCAGCTGCTTCCCTTGTTGAGTCTTTTTAACAGGAAAAAGTCTTGCCATTGATTTAATTTTTTTTAAAACATCAACAACTTAAAATGAGATATGTTCTAGTAAGCTTTCAAAGGCTTGAGGAATCTGTTTCAGCCAAAATATATATAGATGCATAATATTTAAAGAATAAAAGCCAACCTAAACTACCTATTTCAACAGGATACCTGTCCTAAGGGTTGCAGTGGTCACTTTTACATAAGAAAAAATTGGCTAGGATCAGTTAGTTTTCCTTTCTCTGCTCTTCTGGAACAATCAAAGGTAACATTGTAATATAATATTAAAAAAAATTCTGTGGTATTAACCAAACCACCTAATAGTATTTGATGGTAATAAAAACAAGTCTTTTTATAAACATTTTAACACTGTAAGTAGTATGGTCTTCATATGGGATTATGAATGAATCTTATTGTTATGGTAACTCCTGTATGTTTCATCATTTGTTCTTAAGCAATGATCATTTTCCCTGCAAAGTTAAGTAAGCTGATGTAAAGATTCTACTTGCATATAAAGTTCTACTAGTTTTTCCCTGATGTGAATGGAAGTAGATGGCTGAGAGGAGCTTCGCTGAGGGGTTTATCAGTCACACACAGTAGTGCCATATAGGGGGTGCATGGGGTGCACATGCACCCCCTGGGAGCACCGGTGCACCCCCTGTCAGGCTGCTCCCTGTTTGGTGGGTGGGTAGGTGGGAGCACCGGTGCCCCCTGCGAGTGCTGGCTGAGGAGCAGGGCCACCCACAAAAGTGACCACTTCTGCAAGCGGCATGGCCGCTTTTTGCTGAGTGTGATTGGCTATGGGGTGCCTCCCCAGCCAGTAAGATCGGCCACTGGGGGATCCCCCTCCTCCAGTCGCTGACTGGCACCAGTTGCCCATGATCATACACAATTCCAAGAAAAATGGACAGCTCAGCCAGACTAATAATTTTATTATATTCAAGCTCCAGACTCTGCTTTTGAGATGTGGGGAAGGAGGAGAAAAATGACCTTCACTGTAGTGTGGAAGAACTATGGGAAAATGCAAAACTAGTGATCAAGAAAAGAGAAACCTTAATCAGGCAGAGGAGCAATCTGATCTTGGCCTGCACAAAAACACCTGAGTTACTTACCCCTAAGCCACTGAAGATACAGAGGCCAATTGCTGTAGTTTATAGTTTCATAACAGCATACTTATACAGAAATTCTATGGATTCTAGAATATTTTCACCCTTTTGCTGACTCTAGCCTCCTTTCTTCTACCATCACTGAAGTCCTTTACTTGTGGAAACAGGTTCCACAACCAACAAGCAGTATATTTGTAGATTTAGGACTAAATATGCAGAAATTACATCTAATTGATAGCATGTGTTAAACTAGTCCTTGTTAGTTTAAATAAAACAATTCCAAATTTACTGCATAACCTCTGTTTCTTTACCTACTTCTGTATTTTGCTAGCTCCTTAGGGTATATCTATATGTGCACTTTAATGAACAGTAACCTATTTTAATAAGCATTAAAGTATCACTAAAAAACAGTGGGCATTTTTACACATGCTTCCAATGCAGTGCTGCGTGCTTTTAATTGGCGAGCTGTGCTAATTAAAAGTGCCTGCACATCACATGTACCAGCAGCACACTGTGCCTCTGCTGAAAGTATGGCAGCGTTGCACTTTGAACTAAAGCACATCAAAATGTGTTTTAGCTCAAAGCGCACTGCCATCATTTTCTCAGCATGGAGGTACGCTGTGCTACTGATATATGTGACACATGAGGCTGCTAGGGCGCATCAGTTTACATGCTCCAGTAGATTCAGTTAATAGAGTCTGCTCTGATGCACTGGATTTCCAGCATATTGGAGCAGGCTCCCCACATGTGTGTAAGTACTCCATGCTTTTTAGTTAATGCGTGTTAAAATAGGCTAATGCGCAGCAAGTGTCACTTAAATACTGTACTCTTTAGTTAATGCGCATTAGCACAGGGTAGTGCACATTTTCCTAGGACTTCACAATGGAGGTACTAGATTTAACGTGCATTAACTGAAGTGTATTAATGTGCATGTAGACACACCCTTAGGGCATTTATAGATGTACTCTGGGAGGCGGGGGAGCACTTTCATACAGCTCAGAGAGCCACGCTAATGAAAAGTGCCTGGAGTGTCATGCGTATCAGCATTCCCATGCTGAAAAAAGGCAGGTGGGGTGCTTTGAACTAAAACTCATTGAAAGAGCTTTAGTTAAAGCACCCTGCTTCCATTTTTCAGTGTGGGGATACTGATACACATGTCTGGAGTCTGGTCTGACACACTGTAATTACAGAGCATCGGAGCAGCCTTCCTGAATGTGTATAGGAGCCCTTAGATTTTAAGCATTGCCGCTATTAAGGTAAATGTGATTATCTTGTGTTTTCCTCATATACATTTTCTGGGACTGAAGTCTATATTTATGGTATAAGACTGCCTCCCCATGTAAAGACATTTGCATTTTTTAATCTGGCACATCATATGTCTTCCTAGATAAACTCCCAGATGTTTCTTCTGTTTAAAACTTAAGGAGCGATGTTCTTATCCAAAAGCTATTGAGTGGAATCCCTGAAAGGAAGACATAAAAATTATAATTTCCTTTTAGTGCATTTGGTAGAATTTGGATCATTTGAGGTTTTATATTTTAAAATAATGTCTCTCATGGTGTTTAATGTGATGTACTTATGTTTTCCCTAATATAATAACCTAGTTATGTTCACAGATCTGTGGGACGTTTCAAGTAAATATGCCACCAGTTTTGCTTGGTTACACTTGGAGTAAGACACATGTATCTCCTAAAGAAGAGAGTTGTGGACAGAACTTAAAAGAATACACCTTTTTAACCATCTTTGCTACAATTGAACCTCAGTTATCATCTGTTGAAAAAGATTCAGAATCTGATAAGGTTAGAAGTTATACTTAGCTAATTAATATGCATATCCAAATTAAGAATTGTAAACAGGGTGAATTTATTTCTTAAAGCAAATTGTCTTTGCTTATTATTGATTGTTTTCCTCTATATTCTGCCTTGAAATTAGAAATAGTATGACTGTAACTGTAACTATAATTCTAGTTTTTAGATCATGAAGATGAAACACTTCTGCAAAGAGCATATATTTTTAAAAAAAGTTGCAAGGCAAAATTTCCAAAGAGAAGAATAATAACTTCTGTTTTTGACAGCGAAGGAAGAAATGTTTTAGTAACAAAATATATCAAGTCATTAAATCCACCACAACTGTTACTGGATATGTATCCTGATGATCCTAATGCAACTTTTGTAAGTAGCAGATTTTACTTTTTATCATACAGTAAGAACTTTCTGAATTGCTGAAATTAGTTTATGACATTCAATCCAGAATTACTATAATTTACATTTTTTCTGCTATCGAAGCTCATGCCGTCAGGAATCACCGATGTAATAAATATGATAAAAACTTACATTGACTGTAGTTTTACATATTTAAATAAATAAAACTGATATTCACTCAAATGCTATTTATAAAATACATGATCTGATATTTACGTATACTCTCATTTTATTTACAGGACCTTATTTCTCGATTTGTATCTTTAATTCCTTGTATATCAGATACTGTTGATGGAAATGATGATGTTGATATTTGGGTGACCTCTGAGGTAATAATTGTATAATAAATAGATGCAGATGAGTTAGTAGGTGGTTGAAGTAATCATTTTTAACTGTATTAAAAATTCTGCTGGAAAAAGATTTTGACTTACACAGCAGATAGATAAATCTTGAATGCCTGCCAGATACAGACCACATAGGTCCTTAGTCAAGCCCATCTCCAGCAAAATGAGTTCCTGAGCTAGGAAACTTAATTTGAATCATTCAGGTTTTGTAATAAAGTGATCATAAATTTAGAGGCAGAAGGATTATCATCTCCAAAATGTGCAGATTCCCAGGTATCCTTGGAGAAAAGAAGCCTGTGCCTAACTGTGAGTTCCTATTTCTGCAGCAATACAGCAGTCCTCTTAGCTTCTACACTATACTCTCTAAATATAAGGAGTTGACAGCATAGGATTTCTGATAAACACATTGTTTTACCATTTCCATTTAGCACTGCATCAGTTTAGCTGCTGGAAATAAAGAAGAACATGCAGTACTTCTGTGTAACTACTTCATGTATTTTGACAAAAAAGCATGGGTACTGTTGGGAACATCTGTGTTAGAAGTAAGTGCACTGTTTAAGAAGGGCTTATGTATTTGTTGATTTCATCCCTTGCAACAACATAAACTATATAATGTGTTAGACAGACTAAAATACACATTTGTCATATCAGACTATTTTTTCTGTGGCATTTAGTCCAGCATCCTGTCTTCTACAGAGTCTAGTACCACTTGATAAAAGGAAGGTAACTAGAAGTCTCATTATGGACATAGTGAATAATATGACTCAAGGGATATTTCTTCCTTAATTCTTTAATCTTTTGGAAGTCCTACTAAACACTTTCTTTCAGTGAGTCCCTTAGGTTAAAGATGTTAGCAAAAGTGTTTATAGCACCAATTTTAAATGTATTGCCTTTCAGTTCTACTGTATTTCCCCATATTTTTGTTTGATGAAGGTAAGGTAAGTAAAAACACCCCATTTTCTTTTCTTGCATTTTTTATTTTCTGTATCCTTTGTGGTTTCTCTACTCAACTCCAGTTTAAATTCAACAGGTTCATTATTTCAGTCTAATTCAGTCACTTTATTCATATTTGAAATTAAAATTAATATCCTTGTGAATAAGTTATATTCAAAATAAGCCTTATTTTTACAAGGTAAAGGAGTATTCATGAGGGAGCCCTTACCTATGCTACACCTGTTCTATCAGTAAATAGAAAATTGCACTCCTGTAACTTTCACATAAGAAAAAGGAAGTAATTTTAAAATTAGTTCTTTTTACTAAAAAGAAGGGGCATCTTTAACAAAACTTCATAGTTGTATTGCAAATGAGTGAAAAAATGGAACATTAGCTTATCTTTCTTTCTTGGTGTTCTGTGTATTTGATGATATTTGCTCTTTGTTGATCCAGGGAAAAGTGGCATATGTCTTGACTCTGGAAAATGGAGAATATTTCCTTTGGAATCCCCTGAATGGACAGTGTTACAAACCATTTGATGCATTTTGTCCCTTACAGAGCATTGACTGCTTAATTGATTGGGAAAATGTAAGTATGTTTGAAAAAAAAAAAGCCAAGAATGGTTTCAAGTTATGTATAGGCAAAGTGTGAAGCAGTATTTTAAGGCAGGGCTGTCCAACTTATGGCCTCTGAATTGAAAGGTTAACTTGTAGTCCACAGCTTCCAACCTGGCTGCTGCTTCTGCCACTACTCCTTTGGCTGCTTACTGGGGTCTCTGGGTTCCCTTTCTCTCCTCCAGCTTCTGCTTACTGTCTCACCCATGGCATGAGATGTCATGACCCAAGTGGTAGGGAGACTAGAGAAGTTTATACAGCCTATGTGGATTCAAAAGTTGAACAGACCTGTTTCAAGGGATCAAGTAGTGGCATAGACTTGACAAAAAATTGACAAAGAATAAAAAAATAAAGATATTCATATGAGAGAGAGAGAAATGGGACCAGCTTTTGGTGAGAGCCTGTTGCACCCCTAAGAGTGAAGACCTCTGGCAGACCTCTCCAGTGGATGCCAGCTTGACCCCCAGTGTGGAGCCAGGAGGTAAGTGGGGTCCTTGTTAGGTGGGGTCTAGCTAGAGGGGGAAGCTGAGCAGAGCTGAGGAGGGTTATGCCCTTCCCCCTGGCTCTTACTTAGCCCAGCCCCCAGGGAACTATGTGACCAGAGCCGTGCAACCAGGTGCGCTCTGGGTCTGGTGTGTGTGAGTTAGTGCAAGAGTTTGGGGAAGGGGGGGTACTTACTGGCCCCTTTCTCCAGTGGGACAGGCTGGTAGCTGGTCCCTGCAAGCGAGTGCTGTAATCCTGTGCATCATGAGATCTTGCAAGACTCGCTATGAGCCTCGAGATTTAAAGGTTTTCAAAGGTCCCAATTGAAGTTTTTCTTCAGTTAGGACCAGATCTTGGTGGGAAATGTGTGGGTGCAAGCCCATTGTGCCCCTAAGAGCAAAGACCTCCGGCAGACCCCTCCAGCAGACCCCAACCTGACCCCCACTGTGGAGCTGGGAGGTAAGTGGGGCCCACGGTGTGTGGTCATTAGCTAGAGGGGCCAGCTGAATGGAGCCGAGGAGAGTCATGCCCCCCCAGCTCCTGCTTAGCCCAGCCCCCAGGGAGCCATGCAAACAGGCTCACTCTGGGCCCAATGCGCCTGAGTTAGCATAGGAATTTGTGCGGAACGGCATGCAAAAGGGTTATCAGTAGGGCATTTTTGCTCCTGAGTCGCCTCCTGGTTGCCCCACACATGGCACAGGAGTTGCCTACTGCACCTCCAGGCAGCAGAAGCCCCCCCACACTGAGGATAGTCCTCTGGTGCTGGACATCAGGTAAAGGGGACGAGGGATCAACCCTTCCCTCAACCCCCCTCTGTAGGGACCCGGGGAATCCCCCTGGCTGCTTGGCAAGCCGGGTAGCTGTGAGATCCCCCTACAGGCAGCTGCTCGAACCTGCCTGCCAAGCCGCAGCAGCTGGTGAAGATCACTGGGTGCAATAACACCCACCTGGTCTCCCATGTATGCAAACATCTGGGGAACTGTGTGACCAGAGCTTGCCCTGCAATATGGTTGCTACACACCACACACCCAGGCGTCCTGTCCTGGATGGACCACCCTCCGCCCCCTGGTACCTCAGAGGCCCGCACCCAGACAGAGCCTATGGTTCCATACCAGAAAGGAATACGTCTATATCAGCAGGGACTGCAGAAATGAGACAAGGACAGCTAAGGCAGGCATGGAAATCAAGCTGGCAACCAGCATAAAAGACAACAAAAAGTCATTTTACAGATACATAGGAGCAAGAAAAAATTGGGATCTACTGTGGGCCCCCTACTGAATGCTCAGGGGCAGCCCACAGTTGATTCCCAGGAAAAGACAGAACTCCTAAATACATATTTCACGTCAGTATTCCTGAAACCAAACGGGAGCTGTTTGCCTGACCACAGGCCCGGGGAATGAGGAGAAGACAGATAACATTAAATCAGTCCTGAACAGGTGAGGGATCTCCTACAACACTTGAATGCTTTCAAGTCTGCTGGGCCAGATAACCTGCACCCGAGAGTCCTGAAAGAACTGGCTGAGCTTATAGCAGCACCACTGGCCAAGCTATTTGAAGAATCGTTGAATTCAGAAGTGGTTCTGGACATCTAGAAGAGAGCCAATGTGGTGCCCATCTTTAAAAAAGGGAAGAGGGGTGACCCAGCAAACTACAGACCAGTCAGCCTGACTTCAGTCCTGGGTAAAATCTTTTAAAAATGTGTTAAGGAGGCCATCAATCACAAGCTTGGATGGGGTGCAACCCTTTTTTGAGGGTAGATCATGCCTGGCTAACCTAGTGTCCTTCCACAACAAAGTAACTGGCCATCTGGATGAGTGACATGAGATTGACATCATTTTCTTAGATTTCAGTAAAGCCTATGACTGTTTCCAATTAGATTCTCTCAGTCAAACTGGAGGGTACTGGGCTGGACCAGTCTACAGTGAAGTGGGTGGACAACTGGCTTAGAAGCAACTCCTAGAGAGTTGTAATCGATGGAATGGAGGCCCATCTCCAGTGGTGTCCCCCAGGGATTGGTGCTTGGACCTGTGCTCTTTAATATATTTATTAATAACTTGGATGAGGGGGTGGCAAGCTCAATGATTAAGTTCACAGATGATACCAAGCTGTGGGGAAACCCAGGCATACCAGAGGATGGGGCAAAGATTCAGGATGAATTTGACCGACTGGATTCATGGGCGGAATGAAATCAGATGAGGTTTAACAATGAGAAGTGCAAAGTCCTTCGTCTGGATAGAAAGAACCCTCACCATAACTGCACAATGGGTGGTAGTCCATTGGCTGGAACAGCATCTGAACAAGACCTGGGGTCACGATCGACTGGAAGATGAATATGAATCAACAGTGTGATGAGGTTGCCAGAAGGGCAAATAGAACTCTGGCATGCATCAGCCGATGTGTGGCCAATAGATCCAAGGAGGTGCTCCTCCCTCTCTGTTCTGCGTTAGCGAGACCTCAGCTGGAGTACTGTGTCCAGTTATAGGCACTGACCTTCAAGAAGGATGTGGATAAGCTCAAGAGGGTACAAAGAAGGGTCACACATATGATCAAGGGTATGGAAGGTGGGCTTTATGAGAAGAGACTCTGGGAACTGGGTCTGTTTGAATAAGAGAAAGCTGAGCGGTGACTTGATAGCTGCCAACAAGTACATCGGGGTAAGCAACAAGAACTAGGAGAGATATTCTTCAAGAAGGCATCTGAAGGGAGGATGAGGACAAATGGACATAAACGTCCATACATGCAAACACATGCGCTTGCAGCAGCTCAAATAGAAGTGGTGCAGATTTGAGCTGGGGCTTTTTGCTTCAGTGCACGTGCTCAGACATGAACTTTGTTTCTTGAGCAAATTGTGCCACTTGGGGCAAAATAACTCTGCCTGGCTCCTCCGAGACCTTTAGCCAGGGGGAGCTAGAGCCCAGGGCCAGCACCTGTGCTGTCCCCAGCAGTATAAAAAGCTGCCCTGTCCTGGTCCAGGCAGTATAAAAAGCCTCCCTGGCAAGTAGCTCAGGGCTACTAGCTCTCGGGAGTTTTGGGGCCCAGCCAATTGGTACCTGGGGACACTACCCCTTCATAGTTTCATAGTTGGTAGGGTCGGAAGGGACCTGAGCAGATCATCAAGTCCAACCCCCTGCCATGGCAGGAAAGAGTACTGGGGTCAAACTACCCTGGCAAGGTGTCAATCTAGCCTCCTCTTAAAGACCCCCAGGGTAGAAGCCAGCACCACTTCTCTTGGAAGTTGGTTCCAGATCCTAGCCAACCTGACAGTGAAGTAGAGCCTCCTGATATCCAGCCTGAATCTACCCTCTGCCAGCTTGTGACCGTTACTTCCATTCACTCCTGGTAGTGCTCGGGGGAACAGGGACTCCCCCACTGCCTGTTGGTCCCCCCTGCCTAGTTTGTAAATGGCCACTAGATCGTCCCTTAGCCTTCTCTTGTGGAGGCTGAACAGGTTCAGGTCCGTTAGCCTCTCCTCATAGGGCCTGCCCTGCTGACCCC